TTCACATTTAACCACTTCAGTCAGGGACAGACTTTGACTAGGGATACTACAGAGCACCCCCCCCCCCCCCCCCCCCACCTCTCCAGCGCCGCTGCAGTAGATATGCCACTTCACAAATGCAGCAATTTATTTGAGGACTATATTTTCTCTTGCACTTCCACGCTTTCACACGAAGGCGACAGTCGAGCTGCGCTCACCTGTTTTCCTCGCCAAAATAGAGGAGCGGATCGCAAAATAAACTTTTAATTGACCCACAATTGGTGCCATTCAGCCTGCTTTTCCAGAGCTGAAGAGTCAAATTACTTGGCTGTTATGATGTGCGAATATGAAATTCGAGGGGGGAATAATTGTTCTAATGCTGTTTATTTTGGCCTCTGTTGCATTTTGTTAACATCAACAGCATAACAGACACTTGAAAAATCAGATCACCACGGAGAGTAAATTAAACCTGTAGTGAGTTTCCTGGGAAGCGCTTGAAATGGTATTTTATCAAAGTTGCTGGAAAAAGTCAACTAAGAAAAGTAAAGGAGACATGTTTGAGGGAGAGATCCGGTGATGGATTCTAGCACAGTACACCAAGCGTCTCCTCTTTTGTTTGGATTTAACTTTCCCCAGTGGTGCAACAGAGGAAAAAGGAAAAAAAAAAGAGTGGCTCAAAGGCTTCTGGGAGTTTTTGTCATGTCTCCCTCCAGACATTGTGTTTGCATGCACATATCAGACCCTGGGAGAGATGGAGACAAAGACAAATACATACAGCACGCACGCAGATGTATACACACAAACATACTCTTGCACCAAGAAAAAGAATATCCTCCTAGGATCATTAGGTCTGTCATGCTGTCTAATTCTGATCCACCTACAAAACTAGAACACCAGTGATTCATCACGAGTCGTCTAAGAGAGTTTATGTCCCCGTTTACAGTGCAGAGCCGTGTGTGTACAGTGTAATTACAAATACGCTAAAATATTAATGATGGCACCTCACAAAAGCCACCGTTACTTTCTTCCTAATTCCTTGTTCTTTTATTTTGTAGTGCAACTTTTTTTGAAATGGTGACAGGATGCGGAGCACCTGGGGTGATGAAGAAGAAAACAAGTTGTCATATGAAAGGAAATATATATAAATATATATGCAACTTCCAAAAGCGTGAAGAGCTGTCACACTTGGCAGATCAAGATATTCAGAGAAAATTTGGTGTTTGAGCACCACTTAGGGACAAACACATGAAGCTTTGCTTCTTTTTTTTGCCGCACGTTTGGGACTCGGGGCAGTTAGGGCATTTTTTCGGGGCATATTTTAAAATTCATGAGGCAAAAAAAAAAGAAAGAAAGAATAACTTCTGGGGAATTGGGTCTCTGTGCTTCAGACTGAAGAATGCTTCATGAAAAGGAAGGAGGGAAATAAAACCCAAAAATATTGTTTTTGCTTTTTTTTTTTTAAAGATCCATCACTCAGAGAATCAACTCCAGACATTTGCTGCATTGTAATGCGCAAAGCATACACTGCGCTGATTTCTTTGGCAACAATTATTTCCATCTAATACAGCTACCCCCTTCTTCTCACTCGGTGTCCATCAGTCCCCTTTTTCTCCCTATTTTCTATCCTGGACACATGTTATGACATACATAGCTGTTTACAATGACCTGGTGACCGCAAAGCCTATAAATATGCTTAATTAAAACAGCAGAATTGGACACAGCTTGGCAATAATGGGTATCACACGGGGAGAGGAGAATCTCATTTGTGTGGGGAAGTAGAACATGATGCAGATGTGCTCTTGTCACTTTCAGCACTCATTAAGGCCAGGGAGCTTTGAATTGTCTTTGAAGGAATCCTTTTAAAAGACACTCCAATTAAGGTATGTGTCCTGCGGGCGTCTGAGGAGAGAGGGAGAAGTCATGCAGCATCTCAGTCCTTCCACTCCTCCGTCGATCACGGCGCGACTTAACACATGACTTAAAATCTCATGTCACTTCCAAGGAATGATAATGAAACTGGAGGATGGAAGGAGCAGAGACAACCCCAGCTTAAAAGGAACAAGGGAGTCTCACGCAGAAAATGTCATCTTGACTGTTGTGTAACTTCAGCCTCATTGTCTTGTCTATGGAGAAATTGAGATCATTGGGAGAGAATCCTATGATTGCAGCCCTCCAGTATACTGTGGTACGAGAGCTGAACTTGTCCGTTTCTTCACAAACGAACTGCACTCGGAGAAATGTCAGATTTAAGCTGTGGCTAATACTGCGCATCCATCAGTTAATGAATCTGGCTAATTAATCCAGCCTAGCAGCATTGTCAGTGGCTCTGTTCTTTCTGCAATGTGAAAAGCTACTGTATCCGACGGCAACATGAAGGGGAAAGGAAGTTCATTATCAAGTTTCACATTGCAATATGGCCTTTATTAGAACCCAGGGACATTTTTTTTTGTCTCAAACGGGGACGCTAGCAACGGGAAGACAGTGGATTTTATTTTGGTGGGAGTGTATTCTGAAGTGAAGCTATGTCTGTTTGTTGCTCAAGGGGTGGGCAGAAGTTGAGGGTCAGAGAGAGCAGAGCACAGCCAGCCTCCTTGCCCTCCCTATCAGCACTTCATGAAATATCTAGACTGCTCCATATTTGAGGGAAAGGGATGCGCAGGGTGCAGGCTGTGTGAGTTTGTGATGGTAGAGGGGAGTCCTCCGGAGATCTTCGAAGGGAAGGATGGTCTATGCGTCTCACAGCTTATTTTTGTGAGAGAAATTGAGAAATGGAGGGAAGGTGAAGAAGAGAAACAGAGATTATTCTCCATTGGAATATGGATTCTGGGGCACACAGGCCCAGGAGTCAGTCAATCTGGCCGGTCTGAGGGGGGTGGCTGGGCGGGGGGTCCTAGGAGGGCTGATTAGACGGATGCTCTCCCATCATCCATCTCGACAGGCTGGCGAAAATTGGCTAGCCCCTTGCAGGGTAGAGTTCACAGGGGGAGGTGGTGGGGGGATGATGTGGAGTGGTGCGCTGGATACCTGTCACAGCCTTTGGTCTGTTTCAGGATCTCAGCAGCAAATTAATAAAATATCTTTCCTGCTTCCCTTTACCTGCCGTGGCAGCTCTCCCTCTCGCCGCTCCTTCTCCCAGCTTGCACCGGCCCTTTGACCCCTCCGACTACTGTGAGAGATGAGGAGCCCAGGCAGCCGGTGAGTGGGCCAGAGTGTCAGGGAGAAATAGGGAGAAACTCCAAACTCAAGACCCGGCGAAGAGAGAGAGCTCTCGCTGCTGGAAGACAGCTCCACTTCTGACAGACTGACAAACGACTGCCCTGTGTCAGTGAGACATTTTGAAGTGTGATGCATGGGAAATGGCAACCGCAAACAAACAGCAACTAAAAAACAAGCCTCCAACCTGCACTCTTTGTAAGGTTTTAACTGGGCGATGCAGCAATTCCAACATTTACTGAATCAATTTTTAGCATGCTAATATAAAAATGTGAAAAAAATAGCTTGAAGATACGAGCTGGCCGTGGCATGTATACAAAAAAAGAAAGCAGTGCACATATTTGTATTTGTATCTATATGTGCTCCGTATATGTTTGAGACTGTGAGCATGCAGAGACATGGGACTGCGTTGAGAGCATGGCACATGTTGAGCATAATGATCGTCTTATCCCCCAAGCTCGTTCCTGCTCTCCTTTCATAACCCTCTGTTTCACAAGAGAGTGCCATAGGTCTTTCATGTTCTGCTCTTGTCTCTTCACACAGAGTAAAACAATATAATCATGCATGAAACATCACCTCCGGGAGGTGGAGATCACTTCATTCCAAAAAATGTCAGACTTAAAAAAAAAAAAAAAAAAAAAGTAGGAAAACATCCCCAGGTTATTTGAGATTGTTTACAGGTACCTGCTACAACCCTCGCTATATAGAGAACATTTGTACCAATGAGAGATGAAAATGTGATAAATAGCAGAGCTTGAAGTGAATGAAAGGCTTCCACATTGGCAGTTTGGTGGAGTGCGAGCCTTGTTAAATAATCTTCTCTGCAGTGGAGTTGCATGTCAGTAGATCAGGCCTTGTTTTATTCATGTTTGTATGCTCAAATGACCAGCAGATAATGATCGCATTCACCTTCCTCCTGGCAGACACACACCTCTGCGTTTACAACCTGAATCTCAATATGAAAATCATTGCCGATCAATTGCCAGCCGAGCCCTGGATATTTCCACCAGCTACCCGGCTAATACATGGCGCAGCTAATCCAAGTTTCAAATAGATGCACATAGAGGATATGGTCAGGGGCTACTGGCTTCTCTTAGCACTTTAAGGTGAATTAAAATACTTTAAGTGATTACGCTGAACACGGTGTTCTTTTAAGACCACTCATATTTTAATGATTTCGTTTCAAAAAGGTAAGAGAAAAAAATGTGGATATGAGAAGTGTGCCATGTGTATGATAAAGAATCCCCCAAACAAAACAGAGCTGCTTGAAAGCACCTCCACAGTGAAATAATATAATAAGGTTTGTTTCATTTTTTCAGGTTCTCCAAGGACCATGGAAAAAGATTGCTAGAAAATGGATTATCTCTCTAACATTGCGAGTTCATAAGTCCAACTACTAACTTTGTTGAAGGGCAGATACGGTCTCCCAGAGGACAAAGCTCATATTTAGCCACGAGGCCTCCTCTGTGATTAGAAGGGGAGATGCAGGCATATTGACTCAACTGTGTTTTTGCCTCTGCACCGTATGTAATTACCTCTTCAAAAACGAACATTCCACTAATCCTCTAATTCCAGATATTTTAGTGCTCTGCTGGTCTAATAAGCAAATCAAATCATATCTGCACATCACAAATGAGTTTTGGAAACGGACTGAAATAATTCCTTCTGAGTCTCTCATCCCAGCCGGGATGGAGGGGGATAACCAGAGTGCTGTGAGCGGTGTTTAGTGTTTGTTAAGCTGTCATGTGTGATTAGCAGTCACAGTTTCTGCTAGAGGCCCCTTCAGCTCCCCCCGGCCCAAGGCTCACCTGTAACTCTGTCTGGAAGAAGAACTTCTGCGGGCACTGTGAGCAGTCATAGATCTTATCCTCCTGTCCGTGGGCAGAGAAGATGTGCTGCTGGAGCTTATTGGCCTGGACAAACACTGCTCACATACAGGAGAAGGTAGGGGGGGGGGTCAAAGGGTAGAGAAGAAATTGATAAATATTAGCATACATTTTACACGCTGCAAGATTAAGACTTGTTTTTTTTCTGCTTCTTCTTCTTATTGATGGGGCTAAATTAAAGAAAGATGTCGCTTCCATCAAGGCAACGTCCTGAGTGCTTTAGCCCGAATAAAAATCAAAAGCAGACTATGTCAAATGGCAAGAAAAATAAGTTAATCACAAACAAATGCATGCGCTATGAGCCCCCCAAAAACAACAGAGAACAATTTAGGTGTTAAAAGTAAAACTGCAGTGGTCATACGCATGGCGCCACAGCTAGAGGATGCATAATGTTTTGAGAATAACAACGGTCTTTATTTAGCGCTACTGTGGGGACAACAAGCCGGAAAATAAACAACCGCAAAAACTGGCATGGCTTCAAGTGCAAAACATGGCCTCCATTAGTCTACATCGCTAATTATATTGACAATATAAATATTCATGGTGTTGCACTATTTATTCATGCAGACTGCATTCAGCATCATGGAAACGCACAACTTGCTGGTACTTAAAACATATACCGTACATTTGTGCTTTAATTAAGCCACAGTCCACGCTGAGACGCCAAGGGGGACGCAACTGTGTGCGTCTTGAGTGTATGTGTCTGGCACGTGTGTGTGTGTCTGGATTCTCTAAGGAGCACTTCAAACATGCCGTTTGTTATCCCAGACCCTTGTGCTTTAAGGATGGCTGCCTAATCTCAAAGGTCTGGATGCTCTGGAAAAGTTAGCATGTGGGGGCTTCATTTGAATTTCTTACAGCTCGAAATAACTTTTCTTCTAATGCATGCACTGAGAGCCACAAGGAGAAAGAGGGGTGGGGGAGCAAAGCCACAAAAGGTGAAGTGTCTGCTGGCGATTGCTTTGGGGAGGTTGCTGCAACCCCCTTGGCGAGGCTCCGCAACTTCAGCGTGTCCCAGTTTGAGCTCACGTGAGAGCCGGGTTATTAATTACTGAGTCATATAGACTTGAGACGCATCGAATGCCACACGCCTGACCTGGGAAATAAAAGTTTAGATCCAAAGCAGACGCAGTGCTATGATGCCTTACGAATGCTAATGCCTGGGTGACAGCTGTCTCTGGAACACGGCAGCATGTTAAACCAGAAATGAACAAACCTCCTCTAATTGACAAACAACTCCATGGTCCATTTCTGAAACTAATGGCTGCGGCGATATGAGGATAAACATAACTGCGGCTACACGGCTGCTTTTATAGTCGGGTTACAAAATATTACCGCTCAAGGTTAAGGCCTTGGCTATCATGCACATTTGTGCCTCTTTTATGCTCCAAAAACGATGACAATTTTCTTTGTGGGGAATACACAGCTTGGAAAGGAAAAATAATGTGCTGATAAACAATAGCCTATTTCTTTAGCTGTGTTTTGTCTGCATATACTGTACAGAAACAGGTCACAGCAGCTGCAGGAAGCCTTCATTATGTCTTTGGCTAGAGGAGGAAAAAGTCAATACAGCAAAAATAAAAATGGATTTGAGACTTGGGGGGCCTTCAAATACTGTACAATAGGGCCAAACACAACTGAGATGTCAAGTTAGCTGTTTCTTGCTATTTACATGCATCTCTGGTCCACTTCCAGTAAGAGTTACATTTAATCAGCAGCACATTTATCAATTTATAGCTTGGCAGTCACTTACACACAAGTGGGAAGTGACAGTTGATTTAAAGCACCGGGGGCCTGAAATGTTTTAATGCCAGTGTAAGTCCAATAAATACTTTTCTGCTAATTTATATATGTTTGTTTTTGACATTTTTAAAGGCTCGGGCTGTATTTATGTTTACTAAAGATGATTGCAAGAATCAGCAATCACTAATATTTACTGTGGTAAACATTTAATTAACAGCAGGGTTCAAATTTGGAGTCCTTTGTCTTCGTCGTTGTTTTTCAAATTAGCATGCAACGTGTAATAAAGGGATAAGCTGAAATGGGCAATGGGGGGACATTGCATTGGCATTTGGCAGCATGAGTCAGATATAAAATATGCCATTGCATTGCCCATTTAGAGGAGGAACACAGGCATGTCTTTCTAGAGGGTTAAAATGAGGACATAGAAAAACAAGGAAGAAATAATCCAAAACCACATCCAAACAGGATCAGTGGCTGCCCATTGTGTCTCTCCCTGCTGAGTATGAGCGAGGGAGAGAGAGAGGGAGGGAGCGAGAGAGGGAGGGAGCGAGAGAGGGAAAGAGAGAACTTTGTGGAGTTTGTTGGCTGTGGAGTCGGAGCAGAGCTGAACAGAGCGCTGAGCCGGGTTGGGCGTCAGGGGTGTCAGGGCTGAGGGGGCTGAGGGGCCAAGGTCTCCTCGCTGTGGGGGATATTAAGCCCTCTGATTAGATCTCAGGGGCCGCCCATGGCAGACGTCTCCTTTACTACAGGCCCCAGCTCATCTTTATTTTGGCAGGGTGGTGCTCTCTGCAGGCTGCACTGCACCAATACTGAGCTGTTTGTGCAGAGAGGAAAAATAAGTTTATCCTTCACCCCCTCTTTTTCCTTTTTCATTTATTTATTCATCTAGCTTACACGTACTGGTTCCTGCTTAATCCAAGGGTTCACAATGCAGAGGCCGATACGAGAGTTTCGAGGCAACACAAATAAGTCGGCCGCGCGAGTTGATATGGAGCCGATAACGGCGAAATTTCGGGAAAAGGCTAAGCCCGTGTGTTTTATTTGTTTTTGGTGGTAAGATGTCATAATTCTAACATCAAGCACCAGCGCAAACATGCGCAGCAACTAAACACAAAAAAAACTAATTAAACTACTGTAGTTGTCAGACTCGTGTGGATTCTAAAGCAGCGCCTCCTCTAGTTTTTTAAGTTTCTACTTCACGCTGTGACATAAGTAAAAGAAAAGTGTATACGTATACACACACGTACAGACACACACGCGCGCACACACATACACAGGACTTTCATCAGGCACACTTTCTTCTGTTTTGTTTGTCTTAAGCACATATTCCCAATCACAATTTCCACACCAGCCCTCGCTACTGCTCCTAAGGGTGCAGGCAGACACTTCTAGCTGCAGGCTCCCCCACTTCTGAAACCTGTCAAATCTGTCCTGGGAGAGTCAGCCTCTCTCTCATCATCCAGGGGCTTATGGACCTCTCTCCATTTACCCTCCCTCCCCTACACAGTTCTCTTTTCCTCCTCCACTTCCCTCCTTTCATCTCACATCCAAACTTGCCAGTTGCAACCTTCTCAGTTTCCTCTAAGTTTGTCTCCTTTTCTCCTCTATTTTGTCTCTCCTCATCCACCATCGACAACTTACTTTCCCCCCGCTCCATACTTCTGCTCCGGTCTGTTTTGTGCTAGGTTTTGTTTTTTTTTGTCCTCTCGCCATTCCCATTGGTGTGGATTGAGAGTAATCAGGTGTGTCAAAGAATGACATTCATTCTCTACCTCCCGTTGTGTTTTTCAGGTCGCATGGGGGTAGATCAAACTAAAACATGGGCATCACGGGGGGATGATCTTTTAAACAAAGAGTAACCTTGTTAATCAAGCGGACTCAATAACCCAGCAACTACTACCTCCACCACCTAGTTTGATCAAAGTTTTGCTTTCATGTTCATGTTCCAATCATTATACCTAAAATGGGAATCCTTTTAATATGCAAATATGGATTTAAAATGGTGCAAACAAAAATGGTTGCTTTTAGAAAGCGTTCTCTGAAAACAAAACAGTTTTAATGACCAGAAGTAAAAAGTACTTCAGTCTATTTGGTAATACACTTAAGTATTGTTTTAAAGTGTTTGATGTGAATATAACCGTTTCATTTACCATTGTCACTTGATATCTGTATATTACAACTTTATGTATGAATCACCGGATAATCTTGTTATATGTTAATGCACTACCTTAAACTAAGAGTTAAAATTAGCTCTACTTTGGACAAGTATGTTGCAACATATGTATAAGAACTCATTCATAAATGTACATAATAGCTGTTTTTTTTGTTTGTTTTTTTACCTTTTTGCAATTTTTTGTACTACATTTTTCTGATAACACTGAACTACTTTTTATTTACTTTAAAGTACTTTTGCGTGGTACTTTTTAGTAGAAAACTATTTTTTTTTACATCATTACTGTCTCAACAATGCAACAAAAGTACTAAAGTGCAAAAGTTAAATGGCTTCTATGGTTTCCATTAAGTGTCAGTAAAACACAAAGAAATATATAGAAAACATTATTTTGTTTTTTGCTGCTTAAATTTACTGGTATCTTAACTTAATATGTATGTTCTATTGATGAAAAGTTGTAATTAACTTTTTCTACTACTCTGTGTAGTGATAAAAAATCCAAAAAAGTCCATGAAATGAAGCACATAAAAAAACGAACTTAGTGCATATTATCTGACAATATACTGTAAGTAGAGTTATGTTAGGGTGTTAAACAAGTGTTTTTTCTTTACTTTATGTCAAGCTCAGCTTGAAGAGATACATTCAGCTGTTTAGCCAATCTCTCAACTGCTCCTTTTTCTCCAAGTGCTCTGACTTCAGTCTGCCTGTCCCCTGCATCCCCAACAGAGGGAGGCCTTTCAGTTCATCCCATACTCTCCACAGCCTTCCTTCCCCGCTACCATAGGCCTTCGCCCATCTGTCTGTCTGCACTGCGACCGCTGTCCTGAGGGTGTACTCTGTCTCTCCCTCCTCCCCTCTCCCTCCCAGCATCCCTCTCTCTCATGCGCCGTGATCGATATGGACGCAGAGGGAGAGGGGGGACCTGTCTGTCAAAGCCGGCGGTGGAAAATGAAGGCTCAGATGAAGGAGGCATGCTCTGTATATTAAATGCCCAGACCCCTGTGAGGGGTAGGAGGAGGAGGAGGGGGGAGTTTGGGGTGGGGAAATATCAATAGGCCTCTCCTAAAAGAGAGATAAGGCCAAAACAGCAATGAGAAAAGTGGAGCAGACTAGAGGGAGGGGAGTGGAGAGAAAGAAGGAAAAGGAAGAAGGAGCGGCGATGTGAGGGGGATCTGGAGTTAAAAAAAAAGATGTGAAAACAACTTTGAGCAACGCACAAAATGTGAACTAATGATGTTAATTGATGTAACAAGTGAAGGAGAGACAAATTAGTTTTTGTGCAATGGGTGGATGGGGGGTTACAGGAAGCACAAGAGGGGGAAATGAGCTGAGGACCAAAAAAGTGTTAGGAAGAGTAAAGAGCTGAGATGGGAGAAAGAGTGAAGAGCTGAAGTTAACGACTTTGCAGATTTCATTATAGAGATAGTTAACCCTGTTGACACTGAAGGAGGGCGCTATCCTCTCAGGAGGAGTCCGGTCCTTCCACCTCCACGCACAGAGACAGATGAGATCATTACAGCTATCAGCACCACTGCCATCCACAATTAGCACATCTCCTTTTCTTTCCCCACTCCTCAATCCCCCATCTCCCCTCAGCTCACACTGCCTTCCCCCCTGCTCTTTTTCTTTCTCCCCCTCTCACCTCATGACACTTCTTTGGCCTTGATTTGGAGGCAATTTGACTAAATAAAAATCCACATGCAGCAAACTGCTCTTAGCTTTAGCTGGCCTGCTTGATCGACCTTTCCCAACTCATTTAGAACCCATTTGCCTTCAAAGCGAAAAAGAAAAAACATGCAAAGAAGCTTTGTTGAAAATGTAACTGTGTTAGAAAAGTTAACAGAAAAAAAACTTTTAATTTATAATCTTTCCATGTGTTCACTGGGCTGATACTGCACGATACACACACGCTTGCATGCACACAAACACATGCACAATACGCACCTGTAAAGCAGACCGGGCACTTGAAGGTTCCACCCATGCCCTCAAAGCTGTGCTCAATCAGGTGGCATTGAAGCTTCGCTGGTGAGTCGAATGACTGACTGCAGAGCTTGCATTCATGGTTCAATCCTTCCTCTGTAGAGAAGAAACAACAAAAAAAAGAAAATACGCAGAAAACCATAAGAGGCGGAAGAAGCAGAGCATGAATGGCTGAGGAGTTGCAGAGATCTCACTTTGTCCTGGTCCTTTTTTCCCTCTTCCCTTTTAACATGAAATTTAAATTTAACAAATTTATAGGAACACTCTTGTGTCTGTGATTTTCATGACTCAAACAGGAAAAAAAAAATATCGTGTGATCTGCTCCCATCAGGCATAAATTGGATGACCAGCTGGGGTCCTAATAGCTCAGACGAGGGCTTGCACTTTGAACATGGCGAGTGTCATCTTTTTTTCCCTTTTCTTTTCATCAACTTACATAAAAATAAATCTGCAAAGTCTAAATGGAGGAGGAAAGAGTCATATGTGCTTCGCAGACTGCAAATCAAAATAAATCAACAATAGTCAAACAGTGCATGTCAAACGGTGCAGAGGGTCATTATCAGTTTTTCAAGGACAAAATCCCCCCCAAATAACTGAAAAAATGCTTCTCAAACCTTACTTATATGTCCCTGATCTCGGCTCTCATCAACTCGTATAAACCCAACTCTCCTTTACAGCACGCTCACTTGCACGACAGATTATCTTCTTTGCTTTAAAAATACCCAAATGTCTATATCAACATTTGACTACCTCAACCACAGCCAATGATAGCTTAAATAAATGTCATCGTGGTAGACCTGCACATTTCTTTGCAGCACAACAATCTGCTGACTCAGACTTTTAGAGAACTGCCCATCTCCAGTGTGTCAATAAAAGGCCTATGCACTCTGCCAGACTAGTGCTCGATCAAACTCTTGCTACTGTACGGCAAAGGGGCGGGGGTGCATACCTCTGGGACTCAGCCATGGTTTATCCCCAGGTCTCTGCAGCCCAGTGCTCACCGCATAGACCCTGGGTGCCAGAAGCATGTATACATAATCCACCTAAACAGCTGTGCAGAGCTTGATTCCTGGTGGGTCCAGGTAGAGGGTTAGTTGAACATGCTTTAGGCAAATTTGGCAAACAAGTAATCTGAAAAGCAAAGCTTTCCAAGAATATGGTCACCTTGGCCACCACATTTTAAGCTATACTGGGCAATTATTTCTAAAATATTAGAGAATGAAAAAAAAGCCTTAGCCCTAAAACGTTTTTTTGAATTTCTTAAAGCTGAAACTAGACATAAAAATAGGTAGTATCGCAGTGTTTGCACTCATCGACTGATACTGACAAATAGAGACAACTGTGACCCAATAACCCCAATATTCTGGAAAAAAAAGGAATGAAAACATCTCCTACAGTGTCAGGCTCTTTGCAGTACACTGCAGTTTTTACTATAACACATTTTTTCCATTTTTCTTCTTCTTAATCTTCTTTCATCATGCGTATCCTTTAATATGATGTCTGAAACCTAAAAAAACCCAAATTAGTTGTGCATCAGCACAAGCTCACAGACAACATTCCTGTATGTCTGTCTCACAAAAGGTAAAAGCTGATCAAAGCAGCTCATGGTAGTTTGAAAGGGAAAGAGTTGATGCTGTGTTCTGCAATCATGCATTTGACAGATGAGATACTCTGTAGCCTACATGTGCATCTGAGTGTAGCAGCAGGCATCAGCGAAAGAGGGGAAGGGGAGGGGGTGTTTGCCACGAGCGCATCCACGCAGCCGTGCAAGAGGATCACTGTCCTCTTTGATCACCATTCAGTTTGCTTATCTGTGTGACGGTGTACACTAAGGTCAACCTTGCTGCAGCGTGCACAGATCTGTTCTTCTGCCATATGTGCAGCCCTCATTTGACCCTAGTGCACAATGCGGTCCCTTTGGAGACCTGGCCTGCTTCATTATGCATATAACTCTGCACCTGCCTGACTGACCTTGCATGTGTGCATGTGTGTGACTGTGTCTGTGAGCAGGTGCGTCAGGTGAAAATGACAGATATAAATGAAACAGAATGTTCCCAAATTAAAGAATACAGCAGCAATTTTGTTTTTTTCTTACTGTTAGCAAATCCATGCCGTAGAATGATTTCTCTGCTGGCACTTTATGTGGCCACAATGCTCACAAGGCTTTTGGCCACAAAGCTACTTATACTTGTGGAGTCAAAGTATTAATTTCCACATGATTTGTCAACATTAAGATGACGCCACTGTTGATATATAATATATTTTACTGTTGAGGATATGTGACTGAGAGGGAAAACGAGGTTTAAGTGAGGGCCTATCACAAGCAAATTCTGCTCCGTTAGCGCCTCTAATGTAGCCTGTTTAGGGCTGGGTTTGTATTCAGCAGTGTAACAGGGGTTGAATCAGGCTGGCAGCTTGTTTCTTAGTGAGAGCCAAGGGAGGAAGTCGGCTTGCTCGCCCCTATAGCTGCCTCATTGGGCTGAGGTCACTTCCTGTTGCTCCCCCAGCCCTTCTCTTGGGCTGCCCAATCAGCATGGCCCTGCGTGAGCCCCCACCCCTCTCTATCCACCGAGCAGACTCTGGATATAGTTACAGGGCCACAGGGGACTGTCAGCCCTCTCTCTCTATCCTCATCTCTCTCCCTTTCCCTCCTCCCACTCTCTGTTTCAGAGTCTCCCGGGTGTTCTCCACTGCCACCACCCTGTCCCTCCGCACTCCTAAGAAAATCCTTTAGATGAGAACTGCTCCTGTGTCTGCTCCCTCTAAGCATCCCTGACACCAGCAAAGTAAGCCCATCTGCATATCCACAGGGCCTTGCGTTCCTGTGGCTCATGGTTTATGTATTTCACAGCTCCTTAAAACACAAACGCCTAATATCTCTCCCATGTGGAGGACAGGAGAGGGGGAGAGGAAAAAACTACTCTCAAAAAGAATGGTCTTTATTTCTCTGCGCTGTTTACTTTTTTCCCTTTTTTTTGTATCCAGGCTGAAGTTCATGTGCCGTTGAAGGTTGTTTGGGACGCTGGGGCTTGCAGGTCTCGCTTGCATAGTTTAGTGAACTCTTTATGTAACAGCGACACAGCTGCAGCATATTGAATTTTGTAAGGCAGCGGTAAAAGCGCCTGCGATTCTGATAGATGTTTTATTGTGCTTAAGAGTACAAACGCACAGCCGTCAGCTGACAGTGACTGAAACCGATGTAACTAAAGGCGCTCTAACTTTCTGACAATAATGTGTAATTAAGTATATCGCAGGGCATTGCTTAATTAAAAACTCTCCCTCAGCTTATTCCGTTCCAACGCCACCGCTTCCCTCACCACCACTGCCCCTTTCTCCCTTTAAACAATTCTGCCGAGGAGCAGTGAGAATGCGAAGGGAATTCAGGACCACTTTCAGCGTTTGACTTCGGACAAGAAAAATCTGATACTTAGATCTGCACTCTTCTCTGGGGCATAATGAACAGTTCTCTGAAGCTCAGGCTCACAGGGGCCCGTGTTTCTCGTGTCGCCAAAGCAGATGATATTAACGGCATCAATCAAGGCACTTCTGCGCTGAAAGTAATGAGCAAACAACTGGGGGAACAAATTGGGAATATTTAGTGGTTGTTTTAAACAAGATACAGGCACAACAACCATAGTAATCACAGGGTGATGGGTGTGTGTGTGTGTGTGTGTGTGTGTGTGTGTGTGTGTGGGGGGGGGGGGGGGGGGGGTGTCAATTTATAACTAACAGGTCAGTGCTGAGTTTCTAAGCTGCCAAACCTAGCCATAAAAACAGAAATGCCTTTTTTTTACATTTATTTTCAGAACAATCTTGTTTATGAGGAATTTCACCTTTAGCAAGAGTTTGGTTTCTATTCCACCATCTGTCTCCTGCTATTCAGCCACATATTGGAGTTATATGTTAATAATCCAAGAAGATTCGGTTTTCAGCGGACTCACTGCTGTATATACAACCCACCATGGGATTGTGGATGGTAGCAGAGTAGACAGCTTCAGGCCTGTAAACAGTAGGTGGGTTTACTTCTCTCTTCTCTCCGCGGGAACTATCCATTAACAGATAATGGGAGGAAAATCAGAGTGATTAAGGCCCAGGGAATTATGGGTGAATACAAATTGACTCCACCTCTGTGTGGTGCGCTCTCTTGAGGTGGAGGCACTGCTCATAAGGAATAAACTCATTTCAGAAGTATTGCTACACCCATTAGGGCCTGGTGAATGCAGCATGTGGGGGTAGGGAGGTTGTAGGTGGGAACGCAAAGGGATGGACTCCCCCTGGACTGAAGCTGATTGGAGAACTGCCCAGGGGGAACAGCACTAATATCTATCTCCTGCCTCCACAGTTTTAGAAGGACAGAGTCAATCAAGTGCAAAATGTTTGAGATTCAAGTATAAGATTTTACTCAGGCATTGTAAAATCCCCCCAACCCCTCCACACACTCCATCAAAGACCTAATGCATTACACAAACAGTGATGGTAATGTGTTTGAGCTAGCTAATGGAATCGAGATACTGGAGAACTTACTACAATACAAAATGAAAGGTGTTGGTACTGTAGTAAGACCTGCATGGAAAAGATATAGCCTGTGTCTGCAAGAAAGAAGTAAAAAAAAAAAGATAAGCTGAGCCCCCATGTCAGGGTCCCAACGCTGGAGCACGGCTGATGCTGCTTTCCAACCTCCAGAGGGAGAATGAGAGGTGAAGTGAGATTGTTGGCTGTGACATGTCAGTAGTGGTGACGCCCTCGCACAGCGAGAGCAAAGGATTCTGGGGGAACATGACTCTCGGAGAATGTCAGCTCTGATGCATGGCAGCTCGTTGGAGGTGCTAATCAGAGCAGGGCTAGGCTCCTGCTAGGATCAGCCACTCTGCGCCTACATTAACCGCTTCACAGCTCCCTTGGCTACCACGCCAGAGGTAGAAACACCAAACTGGCAGGTTTTTGTGTCGAGATAAACATGCGTAACGCTTGAATGGGTGTTACAAAAGGTTTAGCCGACTAGAACACCTTTTGGGTTTCACAAAACAAGAGGGATGCAAGCATAAGGACTTTTCTCCTTCTCCATAAGCACAACGAGCAGACATTTTTAGTTGAGC